AAACGGCTCTCGTTATATCCTTGCTCCTTTTGGAACTCACTTCATAAGGAGTAATGGCCACAAAGGACGACGCGATCGATTTCTGCTTTGGTACAGCCCCGCTGCTAGCTCTACTTGTTGATGGAGTGACGTTAGCATCAGCCCACATTTTCATGCTTTCAGTGTGTTCACTGGGATGACACTTTTTTAGGTGATGGAATAGGTTGGTTGTGTTACCAGTTTTGGTTTTGACCGGGCTATGACATATTTTACAGTTCATTTGAATCTGTGCCTTGTCGCTCTTCAAAAAGCCAAACCACTTCCATATAACCGAAATTGTGCTACCTTGTTTGTTGACAATTTCATCATTTTTGACTACTTGCTCGATATTTGTCTCACTTTCGCCACTGCTTTCACTCATTTTTGCCGTCCTCATCTCCAGCGTGTTTTGCAAAGTGCCGTAGGAAATTAGCTAACTTTGTTCTCTGAGGTGCATGTTTAAAGCTGCATGTTGATTGGCTGTTGTCGCATATTGCTGCTGTGTGATTGGCTCTTACAAATCCATATCGAGTAAAAATGCCGAGAGCTTATCATCGTTATTGATATCGATTTTATTGCGATTCGATATTATATCATTTATCGGCACAGCACTAAGTGCAGCGGTACAATAAAATTTGTAGCTCAAAGCTGGAGTAAGCCTTGGACGGGAGAAGGCAACATTTTAGGGTTGGCTTAAAAACAGATGCCAAGCCGCCGCCTCTACCAATGATCGTACGAAGAAATAAAATCATTAAGAATGAAAGTTTTGTTTTTAAGTGATCTTGCCATAAAGAGAGCAAAGTGAAGCGGGCTTGGCCTATCCTGAAGGAGGCCGGCCTGAGCCACTGGGCGAAGGTTGGCTTGAGAGCAACGCCTGTCCGAGTGTGTCACAAGCCAGCAGCATGGGCGAGGAGGGTTGACGTCTGAGCCAACCGTTTGAAGAGAGCAATAATTGTAGATCAGGGTCCTGCTTGGATCAAGGTTACCATACTCCAGGAGGTGGTCAGTCCACACTGATGAACTCAGGCAAGATTTCAGCTTAACATGGAGTCCAGCTCTCCTGCTGCGTCGCTTCAGCTGAAATTTGCCCGAGAGAGGGCCAGCCGAGTGTCGAAGGAAAGGAGGTATGGACGCTAGTCGAGGTGGTGGTAGCTTAGATTGATAGCCTCGGTGAATACTAGGAGGACTAAACATTGAGTTACGTATTTCTAAAAGAGTCAGGCGATCATATACCAATACAGAGAAAAGGGAAGCAGTGTCAAATATAACAAAACTAAAAACACAAAGGAGGAGCAGGTGGCAGGGCAAATACAACGGTGCCATCTTGTCTCTGTCATTCTCTATCATCATAATTAGTGCAGGTTTGAGGTGTTCTTGTTCATGGCATAATTATTTATCCTAAAATGTGGTATATGGAGTCAAACAGTCCTTTTCTTCTTCCTGTGTACCATGGCAGGCTGCTTTTTTTCTTCACTTAACATACATTTCCTATCTGTCTAATAACAATAAAGATCACACAAAAAATCAGAGCAATTATTCCTTCTTGGGTCAAGGTCTCATATTTGAGATAAGTGCAGCCTGTAAGCCTGTATAAAGCCTTTCTGCCAAGTTTGCATGGGGCCTTGCACCCCTCCTGCAGCAGCTCTGACTAGATATTATTATAGGTAAATGAATATATGTATATTCTGTTTAGGTAATTTGGGTGATCTGACCCTTTAAAGTTTATCATGTGTCTGATAAATACATTCATTTCAGTGAATTTCACCTTTATTTGAGTGGAAAAAACACTGAAGCAAACTGTAGAGGAAGACCAAGTAGTAAAGGCAGGCACATAGTAGGAAAAAGACATACTGTACATCCAAAAAGGTGTTTTACAGTATATTGAAATCAAGCAGAACAAAGCTTTTGATTACATCTAGAAATTAATTAATGAGTCTAACTTTGTTTACTATTTCACTTTGAGTGTTAATCTAATTTACCTGGAACTCTGTTGGCGAAGATGAAAAAATCTTTCATTTCGGTGGTATTTGAAATGCCCATTTTTTTACAGATGTCTGCTACCACATCGGCTGCCATCTGGAAGAAGAAAAAAAACAACATAACTACAGAGACATGAATCAGAGACCTAAAGGCTGCTGGTTTATTCAAAGCAAAGTGGTGACAATATAACTAAATCTTACACTGAAGCTGTGCATCTTAGTGGGGTACTCTACTCCTCCTGGCAGGTGGATAGGAATCCGACGAGAAGTTCGGCCAGCCTGCAGGAAACCACAACACACTCATCATGCAGATAATGATGACACTGTGAAAGAGTTGCTTTCTGTGTGTAGGCTAACTTACCAGGATGGCTTCCATCTCAACATGTGAGGGAATGTTACGGCGACCACCAAAACTGAGAGATCGCTGAAGGTTATCCATACACACACTTGCCATCTCTAAGGATAAGGATAAGGATAATCACCTTTATTGGCCAAATATGTTACACACAAGGAATTAGTTTCCGGTACAGAACCAATGGCAGCCATCTGTGGCGCCACCTCAACCGATGGCTCTAGCCATCGGCGGGACTGTTCTACCCACCGCACCACTGTCGCCTCCCCCGGAGGTGACAAAATAGTGTGCACTGAAAAAGCCATTTAAACATTCAACTGACACTTTTTACATTAGAAAGATGCATTTGCATTTGTGTGTGTTGTCTTGGATGTCTCCTACCTTGGTATGGGTGTCCATGGTCCTGAGAGATTATGTGTAGGTGACGTGTGATGTAGGGCTCTAGAGTACTAGTGCAGGGGAAGAACCCAGTCATCAGGCTGAGCAGCCGCCAGCCAAGAATACAGCTAGATCTGTGTTGACAACACACAACAATCAGAAACTAACTGCAAAAAATCAAGTCCTCTCTGGGATGAAAGTTTGTAGGGCACTATATTTCTGCTATTTAGAACCAAGATTTTGATTTTTGGCTCTCAAGCTTTGCCTGCTGCTCCTCTTACCTATGTTTACTGTCTATGTATTATAAATTCTGGAAGGATATGTCAGTAGTGAAAACATTTCATCCGTTTGATTGTGCATTCTGCTAATTGTGGATTAAAGTTAGAAGTTAAACTCTATAGAAGTGAATCTTTTCACTTTTTTATTTTCGGTCAAATTTCAGGATCAGTTCTGCACCTACATATAGTGTGGTGATTTTTCCTTTTTGCAGGTACAGAGAAATCTGCATACAAAATTCTGACGACACAGCTCAGGCTTGGGTTTTCTTTTGAGCAATGGCTGATGGTGATACTGTAACATTTAGTGCCATTGAACATAATCTTCTTTCTTGTCAAAATTTGATGCCTGTTATCAACAATGTAACTCAACAGTTTAACAGAAGACTTTAGGGTGTTACACTAATGACTGTAGCGCCCAGCCTCTAATCTGCAGCACAGATTCTGATAATGATGAAAAACTGAAGACAGAATGCTAAAGCTTCATGGCTGATCTAGAGTTTCACCATTTCTGTTTCATTTATACGTTCTATTTTTTGGTCATTTGGAGTAAAAACTCCACAAAAAGGAAAGACACACATATAAAATACAATATTATGATCTTGTTAAGTTGATCACTAATAGCAAGCCACTGAATGTTCCATTTTGTTCACCATAGACAACTAATGTTGTCTCGTATGCTCTTTGAAAGGAGGGAGAGTGACATGGCTGACCTTAAATCTCCTGGCTTCACTTTTTGCACACTTTACTGTTATAAATTGTATTTTAAAAAATGATGATAGACTTTCCGGCAATCCCCAAACCCGGTGATGGACACCGGAAGTAAGGGATGTCATCAAGCTCAAGAAGGAGTCCTTTCGAGCTTGGTTGGCTCGTGGGACTCCTGAGGCAGCTGTCGGGTACCGGCAGGCCAAGCGGACTGCAGCCCGGGTGGTTGTGGAGGCAAAAACTCGGGTCTGGGAAGAGTTCGATGAGGCCATGGAAAGGGACTATCGGTCGGCCTAGAAGAAATTCTGGCAAACCGTCCGGCGCCTCAGGAGGGGGATGCAGTGCCCTGGCAAAACTGTTTACAGTGGAGGTGGGCAGTTGTTGACCTCGACTGGGGATATCATTGGATGGTGGAAGGAATACTTCGAGGATCTCCTCAACCCCAGCGTCATGTCTTCCGATGAGGAAGCAGAGGCTGGGAACTCGAAGGTGGACTTGTCCTTCACCCAAGCTGAAGTCTCAGAGGTAGTTGAGAAGCTTCTCGGTGGCAAGGCATCGGGGGTGGATGAGATCCGCCCTGACTACCTTAAGTCTCTGGATATTGTGGGGCTGTCTTGGCTGACACTCTCTGCAACGTCGCATGGTGGTTGGGGACAGTGCCTCTGGACTGGCAGAGCGGGGGGGGGGG